GAGAGAGAGAGAGAGAGAGAGAGAGAGAGAGAGAGAGAGAGAAATAGATAGATAATAAACAAATGTAACTTAAATTTGGTAAAATAAATAATGGAATAATATAAAGCCCAATCATACAACAAATATAAAAATTAACTCAAAATGTAACAATATCCTCAATATAAGAGCTAAAATTATAGAATATTCAGAAGAAATCATAGGTACAAATTTTTACACCCTTGAACCCACCCATTATTTCTCATGTATGACAGTAAAAGTAGAAGCAATAAAAGAAAGAAAAGATGAATTAGGTTCCATCAGAATGTAGCAGCTTTCTGTTTCAAAAGATATAATGAAAACTCTGAAAAGAAAACCCATAGGATGGAGGATAAATTTGCAAATTATATTTTTATAAGGAACATATATTCAGAAAAGAGGAAAAAGTTGTGAATGAATGGCAATGAGAATAAAAATCTGCAAAAGGTTTGAATATGCAGTTATTCAAACCAGACATGAAATGAATGGTAATGATTTGAAAGACTGATTAGCATGACTAGTCATTAGGTATGAGCAAGTCAGAGCCACAGTATCGCACCATTTCCCACACAGTAGGGTGTCTGCTATAAGATAGGCACACAGTAACAGGTTGTGAGAGTGCAGAAAAACTAGAACTTTGTACACTTCTGGTAAGATGGAAAGTCCGCAACCCACTTTGAAAAACAATTTAACAGTTCCTCGAGAGATGAAACATGGGCAGCAAGCTGGCTCGGCAGGTAAGTGAACTTGTCACTCACCAGTCTTAGTGACCTGAGTTTTATACCCAGTGCTACACAGTGATATTAGGTCAAGGGGGAAACCCCCCAAGTATTCCCAGAAAGGGCAGTCCCACTGACTTGGCCCAAAGTGAAAGTCTAAACTCAGCTCAAGCTGGACTCTAGGAGGATTTCTAGTGTAAAGATCAAAGCTTACAGGTGGCATTCCTCAGGAACCTGTGAAATTGGTTTCTGCCCACAGAAAAGGGCCAGTTCCCTTGGCATATACCTGTGGTTGCCTATCCAAGCTAACTTTCAGTCTTTCATGGTACCTAACACAGGTACCTGTTGTGCATTTCAAATCCTGCACCCGTCTTACCTCCTCCATTATGCTCCTTCCCAGGCTGTTCCAGGTTACAGAACTGGCAGGCCCCACACTTCCACCCCAGCCCTGCTTCTCTGCTTCTCTTGCTAGCCTCCCTGCCATTTTCTCCCCACTTCTCTCTGTCACCCCTCAAGCCCTGCAGGGGAGATAGCCCTGGCCCTGCCAGTCCTACTTGCTCTTTTTCTTTCAGTTCTGGACTCTTCCAGATGCCTCTGTCTGTTCTCTCATATTTACAGTCAACAAAACTATACTCCCCGTGGAGCAGCCATTTCTACGGTTTCTTCCCTGTGCCATCACTCACAGGTGGAAGAAGAGAAACCGGGTTCTGAAAGTTGCTGTTTGCCTTCCACAGGACCACATGGCACATGTGCTCTCTCAGCTCCCCTTACTCAAATAAATACATGTAATAAAATGATATCAAATTATATGACAATCCTAAACACGTACATGAGTTTCAGGGATAGTATTGTTCAGAAGGAAATGGAGACAGTCCAGTGCCCACTGTCTGACCAACAGGCAAGCAGAGAAAGGAACAGCCATAAAATACTTTGGCAACAGGAAGAAAAAAAATGCCTTGACCTGGGTGAAGTGACAACATTATCTAATCAGAGAAAGGTGAAACAAAGAAGCAATATGTATTAAGATTCCTTTATAAGAGAGTTCCACCTCGGCAAATCCACAGAGACAGAGGGAGGAGTGGCTTCTTGGGAGGCAGAAGGTTGCTAGAGGCACTGAGATTTTGAGGTGGCTGACGAAGAAAAGAATCTGAACCTAGGTAGGGAAGGGTATGTGGGGAAGAACAGGAAGCAGGACATATAGATACACCTTACCAGGGAGGATTTCTTTGGGTTTGAATTGTATCTAACTATAAGACTAACAATAAATAAATCTTTAAAAAAGCACAAAAAAAGCAAAAAGCCACATTCCTGGAGGGATATTTCCATCACATTTTTATTCAGAATAAAATCAGAATCACAAATGAGAAAAAGTCCAAGAGCAAAGCAGCAGACCAAATAAATCAAAGGTCCCCAGCTCTGAGAGGGAATGACTTTCACATCACCTGGGCTGGAGAGATGGCTCAGAGGCTAAGTCCTCTTCCTTGTCCACAGGACCTGAGTTTGGTTCTTAGCACCCATGTCAGGCAGCTAACAACCACTGCGATCAGTTCCACAGAATCTGATCCTGTCTTCTGGCATCCTTGGGCTCCCACACACAGAGCATGAATGTACACAATCATCCAAAAAATAAAAATACGAACAACCCATGAAGGTAGAGCTGGTGGAAAGCAGCTGGACCATTGGTGGCATGACTTTGAAAGGTGATCCTGGGATCTCCACATCTCCCCTCTCATTTCTGCCTCACAGAAGCTGTAAGAAATGGAGTTTTTCTACCACACTCACCTATGATGTCAACACGGATGCAAAAGCAATAGAGCCAAGGGACTATGGGATGAAGTGCCTGTAATTATAATCCCCAAAGAATGTTTCTTCCTTGTTATAGCACCATAAGGAACAGGAAATGGGTGACTGGGCCCAGGACAGGCGAATGAGCACATGTCCTTAATTCCATCCTTGATATCCTACGTGTTGAAAAACCTCAGCTCTGGCATACATGATGTTGTAATAAAAAGCAGGGGACACTCTTTGTTCAAAGTTCTCTTGGCACATGGCTCTCCTTTTCAGTTCCAAGTCACATTTCCCAGAGGCAATTGTAAAGACAAATAATTGGTTAAGAGGGACATCTTATACCTATTGTTTATCCAGGGGGTCATTTAATTTCAATAAAGAGGTAGAAATTAGAAACAGTAGAGTAGGTAGGACCCTGAGAAGGTTAAGAAGGACACAGTTGTTTATTTCACTGATGCATCAAAATGAGAAACAGGTATTTTAACAGATGTGGACAACAGTTGTGACAGTATCAACACAGGAGAGTAAACACAAAAGTTGCAGAAAGGAAGCTGTACCAATGAGGCTAAAGAGGAGGATGTTCCCAGGGATGTTTGGATGAGAGATGCAGGTAGAGCCTCCGATCAAGGTTTCCCTTCCCCATCAGAAGACTTTGATATAGATACTACAGGACACTTTTGGTATACTTCGGCATCATGTCTGGTCCCCTGCATCTGCATGTGCTTCTTGTAATGATGGGACAACTCAAGGATTCACTCTGACTTGGCAGAGTTGTTAGCAGAGTTTTCCTCATGTGAAAACTGAGAACACCTTTGTCTTCAAATTAATTTAAAATGTATTTGCTTATTCTTTAAGAATGTTATATATGCTGTCTTTGTTATTTTTGTTTCCTTGACATAGGTCAGGGTAAACCAGCAAGTCTTTAAGGGCATTTTCTTGAATAATGATTGGTGTAGGAGGTCCCAGCCTACTCTGAGCAGTACTGCCCCTCGGCAAGTGGTCCTGGATTATCCAAGGAAACTGGCTGATCAAGCCACCAGGAGCAAGCCAGTACACAATACCCCTCTTGGTCTCTGCTTCAGTTCCTTTCTCCAGGTCCCTGCCTTGGGTTACTGCCCTGTAAGCCAGATGTGCTCTCTCCTTCCCAAGCTATTTTGGTCACAGCACTTGCCATAGCAAAAGAGACTAAACTGAAACAGATGTTGGGAGCAGGTTCATGGATGCTGCTGGGATAGACATGACCATGTTGTTTGACGGTGGAGTGTGGATTGTGGAATGTATTTGGCACTTTGGCCTGGAAAAAGCATTGAAGGCTCAGAGTCTACTGGGCTATTCTATATGAATTTGAAACAATGTTGAGAGCAAAGCAGATGATATAGGCTGAGCTTGTTACATTTCAGAGGGAAGAATAGACATCAGGATTGTTGGTGTGATATTTTGTATATAAAACCCCTGAAGGTGAAACTTGTGCAGCACTAAGAAAACAGAGGCTGGTCAGGTGGAGCTGAGGAATCAGCTGTGATTAATAAGAGACCAGAATCACCGAGGCAAAATCTGGAAAGTGTTTACTCAGGGTTAACACCCAAAGCTGTAGGCCAGAAAAGCCAAAGCTATATCACAAACTGGCACCAAACTTGGTAATATCTAAGAATCTTCCAAATGGCACTGCTTTTGCTGGTATGAAACTGCCATACTGAAGGTGTCATAAAAGTTGAAACATGGCATCATGAGAAGTCATTGGTGAATATATAACCTTAGTTACTGTAGAAACCCCAGGATTGGAAGGGTCATGGGAAAAAGGAGAAGTCTGGTACCGTGTGTAGTGTCAGAGTTACAAAAAAGAGGCCAAGAGGCCATTGGTGAAGGTAGAGACCCCATCATATTAGAGATGTGGGACAACAGTCAAGATAAGCAACAACTATGGGATGGAGCTGGCCTGAGTTAGGAGAGGACCTATGTGTTCTGGAGATCACAGAGCCAGGGAAGTGGTGCTGGCTAGGCCCTCAGGAGGTCAGATGGTGAATGGGTACCAGGTGCCAAGCATTGAACGTTTTACTGTCCACGTTTAGTTTTGCTTTGTTTTGGTTGTTAGTGTGCTCTGGTTCCCCCTCTTCAAATAAGAAAGTATGTCACTTACTTTTTATATCAGAGAGAAAAAACACTTCAGAGACTTTTAGAGAGTTCAGATATTTAAAGAGAGCGAACTTTTAAAAATGCTAACATTTTTAAAAAACTGTGGAATTTTTAATTTTAAATTTTTAAAAGTTGGTATGTTTTTCATTGTGATATTGACATTAATATGTTATCTTAGAGGCAAACAAGAAAGGAAAGTTTATGATTTAATAGTAATGTATTGGTGTGTCAAGTTGACAAGGGAATAACTTTTCTGGTTAATTTTTGTCAACTTGACATAGGCCAGGGTAATCTGGAAAGAGGGAACTTTACTTAAGAAATTGCCTCCATCAGATTGGCCTGTAGACAAGTCTCTGGGGGCATTTTCTTGATTAATGACTAATGTGGAATGGGATGGCACAGCCCACTGTGGGCAGTGAAACTCGTAGGCAAGTGCACCTGGGTTGTGCAAAGAAACAGGCCGAGCAAACCATGAGGGGTAAGCTAGCATTCCTTCATAGATTTTACTTCATTTCTTGCCTCCAGGTTCTGCCTTGAGTTGCTGCATTGCCTTCCCTTCATGTTGCTCTGTGACCTGTAAGTCAAATAAACCCTTTCCTCCCCTAGGCATTTTTGGTCATGGCATCTTTCACAACAATAGAAAGCAAACTAAGACACATATCTAATACATTTTTATCACACCTCCTCCAACTCCTTCCAATCCCACATATTCCCTCCTAACCACATGCTATTTATTACCCATTGAGTCCAGTTAATGATGGTTTTTTTTTTTTTGGCTTGCATGTAAGGCCATCTGAGGGAACATGGGCACAGTAACAGTCAAGAAAAGCAACTCTTCTTCAACTAATCAACTGTCAATCGGTTGTCAGCTAGGGGTGGGGCTTATTGAGTCTCTCCAAATTCCATGTTGGAATATTGACTAGACTGATCTTTGCAGGTTGTATGTAAGTAACTATAACCACTATGAGTTTGTAGACTCTTATCTACACAAGTTTCAAGGCTAGCAAGATGGCTCAGTGGGTAAAAGGCACTTTTCCCCTTATCTGAGGACCTAAGATTGATCCATGGACCCACATGGTAGAATGAGAGGTCAAGGGCCACAGGATTTTCTCTAACCTCCACATGTGTGCCATAGTACATGTGTTCCCTCAACAAAATAAATAGGTGTAATAGAAAAACTTAAAGTTTTGTTTTTAGTTAGGAGCCATCAGTTGGGGCCTGTTTTATTTATTCTAAGCTCTGATACATGGTTTAACACCCTGTTGGTCCTAAAGTTTGTTCCAATGTTTTGTTTGCTCCAGAAGCTTATTATGTTTTCTGGCAATAACAAGTAAATAATCCCAATTAGTTGGAGAGAAGATCAGAATGAAGGACAGGAGAAATTAAATTATAGAATTCTTCAAAGAAAACACTGGGTTCTTTTTTTCTTTAACTTTCAGATTGTTAGATTCAATAAACTACTGCTTGATAGAGGATCTTGAAAAATGTGTTTAAAGGCTGAAGATGTGGCTCTGTTGTTCAAGTGCTTACAGTTTGATCCTCAAAACCTAGGTTAAAAATATAACTAACATAGTGGTGGTTGCAATCTCAGTGCTGGGGAGGTAGAGTCTGGTAGATCCCTACAGCTTTCTGGCCAGTCAGCCTAGTCCATTGGAGAGCCTAGACCAGTGAGAGACCCTGCCTCAAAATACAGGGTAGATGTCACCTGAGCAACATGTACCTATTTTTTTCCTATGGTCTGCACATGCATGCACAACCCTCATACATAGGAATAGGCACACACACACACACACACACACACACACACACACACACACACACACCAAAAAGGAAAATGTTCTTCATGAATAGATAAGAGCCATAAAGAATTACTGTGTCCTACAGCAGTTATATTTTATTTTAATATAAATACTATTCTTTGAACATTGTTTATACTGAGTGCACAGTAAACTACTATTTTATAAACAAAAGTTAAAAAAACTATAACGTTTATAGTGAATGGTTTTTTATTCATTGATATGTATTCTTTCAAAAAAATTAAAGATGGCTTAAATGTTTCTATATCTTCTTTTGCGCTCAACACTGTGGTCCCTTGATACATTTTCTAATTGAGGTACTGGAACTAGAAATGTTAGTAAGTGGTCCATTTCTGGTCTTCAGCTTTTCTTCAACCTGGATGATGTGCCCATTTTCAACTATGACTGCACACAACTGCATTGCCAGCAAGCATGCAAGCCCAATGCCAGGATAGAGGCTATGACAATGTTGATGAGCTAAGCAGAGTCTAAACAGGGAAAACTTGAGAGTACAAATCTGGGGCACTGCTTGAGGGCATGGAGAACGTTGGTTTGACCATTGTCACACAAAGAAGCAATGGTGTGGTGTGCCTAAAGGCATCGGTGCCATTGGCTTGATCATGCCATGTGGACATTAGAGCATCACATACAGGAACAATGGTGTGTATTGCCTCAGGCATGGGATTGCAGGAGGTGGTGTGTGGAAGCTGCTGGACTGGACACAGTAGTGGCATGCGCTCCCAGCTTACCTTTCTGGCAGAAAGGCCCTTCATATGGTGAGTTGGTGCAGTCACAGGAGTAGCCACTGTGCTTTTCCACACACTTGCCCCCGTTGTGGCAGTTGCTTCCATAGCTGCTGCAGTGACCTGGGCAGCCAGGTCTGACTCCAGATGTGACCTTTGCCCTCTCTTCCAGATCCACTTTCTGCCCATTCAAGTGTAAAGAGCGGATACATCCAAGAAAACCTTTTTGTCTTGACGATGTTCCTCCTAAGGGTGAAAAACAAGAAGGAAAACATGAACAGTGTCATTGCTATATTTCATAGATATAATCGATAGATCACAGAACTTCCGACTGTCCCCTCCCCCAGAAATCAGGCCACTTCCTGCTGTGGGATCTCTCCCTGGAAAGGATGGGAAGAGCCTGCTCTGACCATACAGTTCTTCTTCTTCCCTTTATAGGTGCAGACAAGGCCTGCCCAGTCCCTACTGCCATGACACCAGAGGGCCTTGAGGGCTGGATGCTAATGATGATGTCTAGCATGTAGACTGGGGCATGTGGTATGGGACTTCTCCCCATCTTCATGAAAATCTGTAGGATCAAAATGCCTTCTTTTTTTCTTTGGATCTAAGAGCTCCTCACTCTCATTTGCGGTCTTCATGCTATCGCTTTCTGAAGGAAGCTGTCTGCAGGGTAATTTCACCTCAGCTTCCATCTGTTGACCTGTAACATTGTATTACATAAGAGTAACATCCTTGCCTAACACTTAACTGAGGTGGTATCATCTGCCCTGCTGAACTTTTCTTTAAAATCCCAGTGAGAGAAAGGAATTTAAAAAAAAAAAAAACATGAAGTCAGGGCTGTGTATTTAAGTCAGTTGGTAGAGTGCTTGCCTGGCATGCATGAAGCCCTGAGTTCAATTGCCAGTACCACTGAATTAAGTAATCATAGCTGTGCACATCAAAAATCTCAGCATGCACGATGTGAAGTCTGGAGGATCAGAAATTCAAGATCATCTTTGACTACATAGCATGTTCCAGGCCAACTTAGGAAATATGAGACCCTGTTTCAAAAACAAACATGCCCAGAGAGAGAGAGAGAGAGAGAGAGAGAGAGAGAGAGAGAGAGAGAGAGAGAGAGAAAGACTCAGAGAGACATAGCTCTTCTTAGATGCATAGGAATGGAAGTTTACATGACCATGGTGTCTGCATGTAAATAAAATATAGATTTTTTTTTATACAGCCTATAGTGTCTTCGTTGGAAAAAAAAAGGGATAGAGTCAGGTTGTCTTTCCTGGCAAATTTTAAAGAGAACTGTAAGATGCACCAAAGAGACAAAACTGCAATATATTCTTTATGCTTGTGCAGTATAGGACTGTGCACTGGGAGAAGGAAAGATCAGTGTTGAGGTTCACCTCCATGTCACTCACGGTTAGCTATATTGCGCACTGAATTGTTGAATTTTCAGCTATTCCATCTATCATTCCATGTTTTTATAGTAAAGCTTACTGAGGATCATAGAGTACAGGGTATGTTCAGGTACTGCTGTCCTCTGGGCCCTTTTCTTGAGTCGTCATCTACTGCCTAGACTCAGTAGGTAATTATGTATTATCTACTTTTTGATCTTAGAGTTATCTATAAAATGCTGTTTAGCAGATAAGATTTCTTCTCTCAAATTGAGACTTGGACTGTAATCTGACTCTTAGCTGAGATACATCTGGAGGCTGTCAGGAGAGTATTCAATACCCTCCATCAAGCATTGAGCAGATTTAAACTTTCTCATTGTTTTGTTCACAAAGAAACCCCACTCTTCCCAGAAATGTGTGCTAAAAGACAAGAAGTTGGAAAGCACAGTTAAATCCCATTAGCCTGTATATGTGCTCTGCTGAGAATTCTGGGAGATCCTAAAAAGGCAGAGGCCCATTCTGGCTTTAGAAACAGGTATTTCGTGTCCGATCTTTGAGCTCAAGGTTATATCATAGATGAGTGGAGAGTGCATAAAAGTCCTTGAGGTCTGCCTAATGTACTAATGAAAAGTAGAAGGAATGGGATGGGGAAGAGAAAAACAAGAAAGGAAGAGGAGCAGAAGAAAATACTGATGGTAGAAACTACACATCAATTATTTCCTGTATTTGTAGACTGTCTTAACTGAGACTCATTCCTCTTGAACCCCTTATGCTACAACTCTATTAAATTTGGTTTAAAAAGTAGCTAGATCTGCGTGCATACTTATCAAAGAAGATAGGATAGGCGTTGGAAATTTACCATTTTGGATAAGAAATATAAGTGTAAAAAAAAGAAAATAAAATTGTAAATTGAGCCTGGGAATGGAGCAGTGAGTACAGTGCTTACCTCACAGACATGGAGACCTGAGTCTGATCCTCAGAACCTAGGGAGATTGTATGGGACTTGCCTAGGTCCTCTGCATAAGTGAGACAGTTGTGTAGCTTGGTCAGTTTGTAGGGCCCTGGCAGTGAAATCAGGATCTCTCCCTGGTGCATGAGCTAGCTTTCTGGAGCTCATTACCTATGGTGGGACACCTTGCACAGCCTTGATGCAGTGGGGAGGGGCTGGAACCTACCTCACCTGAATGTACCAGGCTTTGCTGACTCCCTGTGGGAGCCCTTGTCTTTTCAGAGGAGGGGATGGGAGATGGGTTGGGGGTGAAGGCTAGGGGCAGGAGGAGGAATGAGAGCAGGATCTGCAGTTGGTACATTAAACAAATAAAAATTTTCTTAATAAAGAAAAAAAGAACCTATAAAAAGACTAAGTGATATGATGTATGCCTATAATCACAGTGATATAAGATATGAGGTGGAGACAGGCAGATCTCTGGAAAACCACAGTGTAGATGCTTCCTTAATCCATCCCAGGTACAGTGGTTTGAATGAGAACAGCCTCCTCAACATCATGTTTGCATACTTGCTCCCCAGTGAGTGGAACTGTTTGAGAAGGATTTGGAGGTGTGACCTTGTTGGAGGTGGTGTGTCATTTGGGACTGGCTTTGAGATTTCAAAAGCCTATGCTATCCCCGTTGTATCTCTCTCTGTCTCATACTTATATATCAGGATGCAAGCTCTCTCTATTGCCCCAGTGCCATGAGTGCCTGGCTGTTGCCCTGCTCCACATCATGATTGTCACAGAGTCTACCCTCTGTAACCATGAGTGCAATCTAAGCATTTTCTTGGGCATGGTGTCTTATCACAGAAATAGGAAAGCAACTAAGATACCAGGTAACCAGACCAATAAACACACTTGAATCACTGCTTGAGCCCAAAGAATAAAAAAGAACATTCCTGAGATACAAAGCTACTCTCTTACTCTGAAATAATAAAAAAAAATGACTTTGCTTCCAATTCTGATAAGAATGCAGGCCAAGAGGCCAAACCTCAATTGCACTATGTTGTCTGTTTCAATTTCGGTGAGTAAGTCTCCTTTAACCACAAGATAAATCAATGGCACACACAAGCCGATCACAAAGGAAGGCTCATTATTTCTTTTCTGGGGGTTATATGCAATAAAGAGGGGAGGATTTATGGAGCCTCACACTGGGTTCTGTTTCTCCTGCTCTGTAGTCACCCCCCTTCATGGATTTGAATAACTCTTCATATATCTTCTTGGTGTCATTTTTCTCCTAGCAGAGATGGTAAATGCAAGATCTATTGCACATGTTCTTGCCTATGTGGCTTAGACAACAAATTTATAAATGAAGACAGGGTGGCTGGGATAATTTCTCTGGTAAAAATGCACTTCTCAATGTAAAATTTTCCCCAAACTAGAAGCTCATGCCCTTCTAGATGCTGAGAGAGCACCATGACACAAGGCACTGTGCAAGTTCCTTGCACAGTGAACTGAAATTATACTTTTATAGCCTGGGTTTTGGTTTTATAAGAGAGAAAAAAATCTAAAGAACAGATTCTTTTTATTATGAGGAATGTACAGACCAGACCACATGTTGGATAATTTTAAGAAGATACATATCAACACAAAACACACACACACACACACACACACACACACTCGTGCGTGTGTGCACATCCATGGACACATTCACATATAGAAACACATACACATAAACACACACATAGACCACACACAAACACACATCTACACATACATGTGCATGTATACACAGAGACAACACAAGTGTACATGCACACATACATGTACATGAAAAAGAGACAACACAAATATGCACACAGAGAAAACACAAATACATGTACACACATACATGTATATACACACAGAGACATGTACACACACTATTAGAGGACATGTTGTAAGAGTCCACTCTCTCCTTCTACCACATGGGTCCTGGGAATTGGTTATATGTAGCTTTACTTTTTACTCTTTGGGGGCCCATATACAACTCCCAAATAAATACATGGAGACTTGTTCTTACTTATGAATGTCCAGCCTTAGCTTGGCTTGTTTCTAGCCAGTTTTTCTAACTTAAGTTATCCCATTTCTTTTTAACTACATTTTGCCTCTGAGCTTTTTACCTTTCTTTATTCTATATATATCTTTCTTTACTTCTTACTCTGGGGCTGAATGTGTGGCTGGGTGGCTGGTCCCTGGCATCCTCTTCTCCTTCTCCTTTCTCATTCCTCCCCTTCTTCTCTTAAGCCTAGAATTCTCCTATTTATTCTCTCTGCCTGTCAGCCCTGCTTCTCTCTCTCTCCTGCCTTGCTATTGGCTGTTCAGCCCTTTAATAGACCAATCAGGTGTTTTAGGCAGGCAAAGTAACACAGCTTTTCAGAGTTAAAAAATGTAACATAAGAAAATGTAACACATCTTTGCATCATTAAACAAATATTGCCAGCATAAGTGAATGTAAGACATCTAAAAGTAATATTCCACCACAGTTATATAACTAATAACAGTTGTTGGAACAGGATATGCTTTAAGATCCCCCCATCCCACCAAGATTCCAGTAAGTGGTTCAGGAATCTTGAGGGATGCAGCTTTTATGAGTCATCTTCCAGGCTACAGGGAGCTGTCAGTGAGACAGCTACCTGAGCCACCCATGTTCCTGTGAGCAAACCTCATTTATAATCATAAAAGAAACCAGTAAATTCACTGTCTCAGTAAGTTATACTTTAGGGGAATTGCTTCTTTGTTTTGTAATGTTTGTTCTTTTTAGAGTGAATACATAGTTGTTCACATCTCCAGGGGGAAATTCACACAATAATTTACTATACAGTTAGGAGAGTGGAAAGATAGCTTTATTCTTAAAGTGGTTTTCAGCCTTTCTTTATCGTCTCAGTCTT